CTTCTTCTGTACTTATAGTACTATCAGCGCATGTAGTGTGTACAATTTGCCCACATTTACAGCAGGTATGTGCTCCAGAGCTTTCTTTTTTGCAAATACAACATATTTTTATATCCGTGGGGACGTTTTGTCGAATATTTATTTCTTCTACGGGATTTGTAATTGGATTGGAATCGTCTTGTTTTGGAACAACAGATGTATTTTCGTTCTCTTCTGTTGATAGATTTATATAAGTGCTTTCTAATTCTTCCTCAGTTTGGAGAATCTTTTTTATAGAATCTGGTAGAGTCTGTATTCCTACGTGAGCTTTTCTTCCTGTAACAAAAAATCGGTCAATTTCTTCACTTATTTATAGGTAGTATTTGTATACAGAAACTTACGTATTAAAGTTATGCTTACCAAACATGACTTCGAATGGAGTTTGTCGTATTCCAGTGTGATAAGCGCAATTTTTCTGCAGTTGACAGAACTTAAGCCCCTCACTCCAACGATTGGTCTTGTTATCCTCCAGCCACGCAAACAAGATTTTTTGTACGTTTTGGTTTGCCCGCTCTACGCTACCCTGATTTTGGGAATGCCGCGGTTTACCGTGTACTATAGATAACTCAGGCCACATGGTTTTCAATTCTTCAATAATGCGGTTGGCGAACTCTCTGCCATTGTCCGATTGAAGTACTGAAGGGGCACCCAAAATACAAAAAATATCTAAGAGAATGTGAGCCACTTCTTCTGCGGTCTTTGTTTTCAGAGGACGTAAAATCACGAATTTTGTCAGGTGATCTTGATAGTTTAAGATATACTTGAAATCACGATCGGGACACGTCTGCATGTCAATGAGATCAACTTGTGCGCGTGCATGAATCTCTGTAAATACTAATGGTTTCACCACCAGTCCCTTCTTAGGATGACTCTTTTTCTTTTGGCATGGTATGCATAAATCTAAATACAAGTTAATGCATTCTATCGTAACATTTGCATATTTATCTTTTAGTGCTTTTACTGTACGATCTCTACCTCCATGACCACACTCACGATGAACACTGTCAATTACATCAAACAACTCGTCATCTGTGACATAGTAACATACGTTATTCTTATCAGAGAGCGGCATAATCAACTTTTTTATATTCCCAACACGCAAGATGTCATAACGCTTCAGACGCCGATATTGTAACGATGTCCTTTTTTTTGCCATCTTTGCAGATTCTACCTCACTGATCAACTCTTCATACTTTTGTCTGGTTTTAATATGAAATGAACATGCTGTTTTCTTCAAACTCACAACTCTTTCTATAAATATAGTTTTCATATGGTTCATGTCCACCTCATTGGTTATATTACATTTGTTTTCACTCATTTTGAATGTTGTTATACTTATTTTAAGAATGCGTAATAACAACTAATAATAAATAAAACATATCACAAAACGATACAGACGTGCGCACAACTACTGCTTGCTCGATGTGTAATAACTTGCAACGCACCGTAACTCGCTCACGGACAGCTGACAGATCAGATTAGGTTAAATGCATGTGCAAGGCGCATATCAGACTTATTGTCAGATGGCCTCGTAGTCACACCTAGGATTGACTAGTCACAGTCCGAAGTGATTTTTCTTTAGTTTCTAACTTTGACTAGCCGTATTAGTTATTCCTAGGATTGACAAGTCAAAAGCCGAAACGCAAAACTTATTTCGGGCTTTGACTAAGACGCTTGGTCGTTCCTGAGGATTGACTAGTCAATTTTAGGAATGCCTGCGTTTCGGGCTTTGACTGTAACAGATATACATATATCCCTCTTTGGTAAAACTTCAGATTAAGGGCGACCTCACCGATTTTAATGACCTCGATATATGTTGTCAAGGTCATGACCCTGAGTGACCTTCAGAAGGTTTTAGCCGTCGCTCGTTATTCGTTAAAAAGTTATTAACAAAAAAGTTTGAAAAATATAGCAGTTATTTTGAGTATTGGAAGACATAAACGATTAATATGTATGTGGAAAAAATACATGTATGAACGCTTGTGTCGCTTAGTTTAACAATAGAGCCCCCTGTAGGGGGGCGAAACTTACTACCTCCACGCATACACTTTTCGCGCGACACCAGTTCTCACATGGGTTCGTGGCGTGCTTTACGAGCTCGTTTATTATATATTGCACAAATATTCACACAGATGATTGACTAACTTATCTTGTTTAATACCACCTCTACCTAAACGAGCTTGTAAAGCACGCCACGAACCCATATGACAACTCGTTTCGCGTGGAAAGTATATGCGTGGAGGCAGTAGGTTCCGCTTCCCTGCGGTCACATGGGTTTGTGGCGTGCTTTACGAACTCGTTTATTGTATATCGCCACAAATAATCACACAGATGATCAACTAACTTATCTTGTTTAATACCACCTCTACTTAAACGAGCTTGTAAAGCACGCCACAAACCCATGTGACAACTCGTTTCGCGTGGAAAGTATATGCGTGAACTATTTTGACATATATTAGTTATTTATGCCTTCCAATACTCAAAATAACTGTTATATTTTTCAAACTATTTTTGTTAATAACTTTTTAACGAATAACGAGCGACGGCTAAAACCTTCTAAAGGTCACTCGGGGTCATGACCTTGACAACATATATCAAGATCATTGAAATCGGTGAGGTCGCTCTTAATCTGAAGTTTTACCCCCTCTTTAATAAACAATTCGCAATTAGTCGTTATTTTTTATTTGTTTGATTGCTGTTTGCGAGTAGGTCATAATAGTTTGCTTTATACGTTTTTTGCTTTATATCTTGCATGTAAAATGCAACGCTGCATATGCCTAACGTAAGACTGTCTAGATCAATGAGCATCCAATATAAAGCATGCTATGTTAGGGCCAAAGCACATAACATGGCGTAGCAATTTATAATAGTCGTAGTCGTGGACGTAAGTCAAGCATAAGGATTGACATTAGCGTATATCGTATCCGTCGCGTGATGCGACGTGATTGATACAACATACTACGCTAACGTCAATCCTTGTGCGTTGACTTCCGACACCGACTTACGACTTACGACAGTCATAAGGGTTACAACCATCTTTGTGCTTTGACTTATGGAACTCATTATGGATGGATATTCATTGGTCTAGACGCTCGGGAAAAAAGAATTACATCTGCCGAGATATGGCCAGATCTGGTTTATTAGATCTGGCCAGATATAATTTGATCTGCAAATTGTTTCTATCTGGGCAGATCTGAGCAGATTGGATCTGCCAAGATATAATTATTTACCGAATGTATCCAAATCTGCTCAGGTATAGGTCATTAAAAATTATGAAGGGATGTAAAATTTTATAAAACCATAAATATTATTGATTAATTCGAAATTGTGTGCCACTTTATTATATGCGTGCGATACAACTGATGATATAAGTTGTACCGTACACTTTATTTATATACCGTTCTCACACTATCGTTTGTCATATTTTAAATACGAGAAACGGATCTCATCGAATGCCATCTATCGGATGATCCGACATTTGCACAGGGTACAACAAAAAGGTCGGAACACTGAATTATCTCGGAAAGATGACGTTTTCGGAAGAAATGTTTTATACAAAATTTGTAGGGTACCAAGTTATCCGTTATGTGGTGATATTGAATCGAACTTGAACGATCTTGGGAAAATCACATTAATCCAGATAGCAAAGTGTGTCTGAGCAAAATCGCGCAAACCTGTGATTGCTTATGATGCTGGCAACTTGCCGTACATTTGATTCAATTGATTTCAAGTAATTTAATATTTGATGCAACACGCAGGCAACATTGGATATATGTATTGCCAGCAATCTGTCGGCAAGAGAACAGCATCAAATTTACTTTGCGTTGCTAACAATATGACAGCATTGTGTGATCTTATGAATTATTACAGCAACATGACAGCAACAGCTCGAATTTTGAATCAGACGATTTTAGACCGCAGCATAAGTTACCAACAAGTTGCTGGCAAGTTGCTATACAAAATTGTTATACTGTGCAGGGATCAACTTACCAATAAATGCGGACTCAGTTGCCACAATTCTGATAGCAACACATACTATGTTGTCGGCAACATACCGGCAACAATGCAGACACGTTGCTATCTGGGAAGGTCACATTGAGTTCCTTAAACGGGGACCCTTATTTTTTATGTCATATTTTTGTAATCCTTGTTGAGACGTTTTCAAAACGCTAATATAAAACTCTCTTTCGTTAAGAATTTCCTGAAATATTTTAAATTTTGTCATGACATTTTTAATATAAAATATGAGATATCTCATAAAATATTCATTTTTCGATAACTTTACCTTCATACTTTTATACGTAGAATAATGAAAGGAATTGAATAATAATATTAATTTTTATTAATCTTTACATTTGCAATTTTGCAAAATTGAATGCGTCTACCATAGTACCATAGTGTATCGGAATAAATGTTTGAAACGGTTAGGACTTACTCACTGTATTTTTGACATGTTGTCCTTTACAAATCTCGTATCTTAATGCTAGCTTATCGTTACTCTCGGCTATGTACCAAGCTTCGCTCGCAGAGAGGCAGCACCTCTCGGGTTCCTATTTATTACGCCGGGACACTACAATTCCCTCTTTTTATTTTTTCCCACACCGGAAAGCTGTTGCCGGATTCTCTCTGATTTGTCTTTCCCCTTTTTAGAGGTGTCCTCGCTGTTCGCATTTCGCTTTATTGCCGTGTATTTTACAATCTGGTCGACATATCTTTTCCATACCGCCTTATTGCCAGTTTCTATTTTGAACGTGACCGGTGATAGAATTTTCGCTATGGTCCCTGGATATCTACCGTGTGTGTCTCGGCGAAAGTCATCGACCATGACTCTATCTCCTATCTCTAATTTTACATTTCGCTTCTCTGGCCTTGCTGATTTCTGAGCTAATTGTTTCTCTTCTACTGCAGACGTCACATCCGACCGCAATAAATCGAATCTGTTGCGGAGTTCTCTTCTATACATGAGCCATGCCGGCGTTCTACCCGTTGTACAATGCTCGGTGCATCGGTAGTCGAAGAGAAACATTTACACCGCTATCTCTACTGTTTTTCCCGATTTTACAATTTTTGTGACCTTATCCTTAAAGGTTCCTACAAAATTCTCTTCTACTCCGTTCGTCGCCGGGTGATTCGGGGCAGCGAAACTCTGCTTAATCCCATTCTCCCTTAGAAAAGCCTGCAACATCTCGCTTCTGTATTGGGGCCCATTGTCGCTCACCACGTGATGTGGTAGCCCGAATCTCACAAATAGTGCTTTGAATATCTCTATTACCTTGTACGCTTTCATGTTTGACCCCATTCGTACTATCTCGTGCCACTTAGAGTGCGCATCGATTATAATCATGTACATTTGCCCGAAGAGTGGCCCGAGAAAATCCGTGTGCAGTCTTGACCATGAGTTCGCCGGCCATGGCCATGGGGTTAACGGCGCGTGTGGCGGCGCTTTGCCCTTCTCCAGGCATGTTTTGCAACTACTCGCGGTCCTTTTGATGTCTTTGTCTAAGCCTGGCCACCAGAAGTGAAAGCGTGCCAGTTTTTTCATTTTTACGATTCCTTAATAAGTTACATGAATTTCTTTTAATATCGTGATTTCTGAGCGCTTTCGGTATAACTACCCTGAGTCCCCACATTATACAACCCTTTTTGAGGCCTAGTTTTATTTTTTTTTGATAATAATTCTTGTTAGCTTTTTTGCATCCGACCATCTATTTAACATAAATTCTACGATTCTACATAAAGCTCGATCTTTTGCTGTTTCTTTTGCTACTACTTTCGCTGTGAGCGCTTGGCATCTTTGTTCAAAATAATTTATGGCTGCGTTGTCTATGTCGAATACTTTGGTGCTACAGGTAATCTCGATAGCGCCGTCACAGTTTTCGTTCGCCGTTGAGCGTACTATCTCTATTGTATACGTGAAACTCGCTAAGAAACATGCCCATCGCTGTATCCTGTTATGCATTGTTACAGAGACCCCTTTATTGTGCCCGAACACAAATCGCAGAAGCTCGTGATCTGTTTTTAGAATAATCTGCGCACCGTACACTGATAGAACTTTTTAAACCCGAATACTATAGCTTCTGCCTCTTTGTCAATTATTATGCTCGGTGCATTTTTGATGCTGGTATTATCTTGGAGGCGAATGCAATTGGTCACTTGGTGCCGTTAGCGTATCTGTGCGATAAAATTGCTGATAGTTCGTACTGACTAACGTCTGTACCTAATACAAGTTGCTCATTTTTATATAAAAAAAAGAAAAAGAAAAGCGCTAGGACTTTGTCTGAAATTAACTCGTTTTTTGACTATTCAAACGCCTCTTCGCATTCCGGCGACCAATTCTACGTCGCTTGTTTACCTAGCTCGTATAATAGTTTCAGTTTATGAGCTCTATTTTCTAAGAACGCTTCGTAATAGTTTAATATGCCTAAGTACGCTTGTAACTGTTTTTTATTTATCGGTGCGCCCGATATTGCGTGTGTTTTGGCCGCTGACGGTCTCCAAGCCGCTCTTGTTTATTATAAATCCTAGTACCTCTAACCTGTCTTTCAAGAACTTGCATTTTTTTTACCCTAAGCCCCACGGCTTGTAAACATTTGAATATCTTATCTATCGTTTCACGGTGGACCTCGTCGTCCGACGGGCCCGTGCCGTACATGTCACATATATTTCTCTACATGTGAGATTCCTCGTAAAATTTTGTCCAAAATCTCTTGGCATTCGCCTGGGCTTGAAGCTACCCCCTCTGGCATTTTAGTGTATCTATATAACCCCTCCTGCGTGATTGTCGTTAAACAGTCTCTCAGCGACCTCGAATTGCATGAACGCGTGTTTCAGGTCAATTTGTGACCATTTGGACCCCGTCCCCAACGTCTTAAAAACTTGTTCCTTTAGGGGCATTGGGTGTCTCTTGATTATTATTAAACAGGGGTTAACCGTTAACTTAAAATTACCGCAGATTCTTACAGTTCCATTGCTTTTTAGCACTAGCACTATCGGTGTGGCCCACTTGCTGACTTTGACTGGTTCTAGATTTCCGCATTTTACTATAGCTTATTTAGGGCCAATTTCACCAACCACGGTTATCCTTTAAGTGTAGAAAGGTGTAGGGGTGCGCGCCATCTCTAGGCTCCCGACGCGTATCTTTTTGGGAAACCGATTTCACGATACACTCGCGATACTAGCGCTATCAAATGTGAATGTCTGATTGTTAATGCCTCCGAATTTTAAACGCGAAATTCGCGCTTTTTACTTCGCTTCCAGAACAGATTATTATTGCAAACTCTGAGAGAATGTCCTTCGTAATAAAATATTTGGTTGCCCTGAAAAGGGCAGATTTTTTATTTTTGGAAGAGATACTTTAATTACAGAAAATATTCGAAGTGGCCACTGTTCATCGCGATACATGCTCTCATGCGTCTTAATAGGTTTGTCGGAATCTTCTCCATAATAGGGGTATTCAAATAAGTTAAAGTTTAACGGTTTGACAGGTTATGTCGGGTTAAAGTCGAGTAAAAAGTTAATTAATTAATTTTGGGCGCGTTACTCTTTAAGGTTATGCAAAATACATAAGTGACTCATTAACCTATCACATTAATCTTTGGGTTAAAAGTGTAAAAATTAACTTTTTACCCGATTTTAACCCGACATAACCTGTCAAACCGTTAAACTCTAACTTATTTGAATACCCCTAATGTCGTCTTCGATAGCCCAAATAACATTGTGGAGTTTGTCATTTAATTCTTTTACGTTCTCGGGAAGCTTTTTGTAAATGGCTTTTTTGCAGTATTCCTACAAAAAAATCTAATGGATTGAGGTCCGGGAATCTTGCGGGCCAACGTATTGGGCCATATCGGTCCATTCAACGTCCAGGAAATTGCTGATTCAAATAATGTGTAACCACTCTTGCGTTGTGTAGACCAGCACCATTTTGTTAAAATACAATTCTTCCTCTCTCCGCCAATAGCATCTCTTCTAAAAACTCTGGCATATTGTCTGCCAAAAATTCCGCGTACGATGCGTCATTTAAAATTTCAGGGAGGATAACTGGGCCTAGGATTTTCGTGCCTATTATATCAGCCCACACATTTAATTTCCATCGGACTTGAAAATTTCTGACTCGAGTGACTCGAGGATTCTCGTCGTTCCACACATGCATATTGTGCGAGTTGAAAACTCCTTCCCGTGTAAATAGCAATTCATCGCTGAATATTATGAGCGTGTGCGTGTGCGTGTGCGTGTGTGTGAGCACCAATTTTTTTTACAAGAAAAATTTATTTATATAATTTTAATTAAATATTTTTATTTTGTACTGTTACCTCTTTAATTCTTTGTGATTAAAATGATTTTTTGTAATATTACAATTTTGTTAAAGAAAATTAAAGCTACTACCACTTGGGTTGGAATAGGAAAATCCTTGAATGGGAACACAAAGATGTTAAATATCGCCAGTAGTTGTTATTGGAAGTGGTTTCAAAGGTATATGACAAACCTTGAGATGCGTGTTTAAATGCACGATGCCTGTTTTATTAATTGATTTACGAGACAGAAGTAAGGCTTTGATCGTATCGAGTCGATGGTCGAATACAGTGTGATGTAAAGGCATGTACTCTTAGAGAGTCGTGTGAATGCTACATAGTATATGATCAATATGGTAGAACAGTATGGTGGATATGGTGGATCAATATGGTGGATCAATAAGCGGAAAAATTGAATATCTTAACACGCCCCCTCAATTTGAACGCTACTAACAATTCTTGGCAAACAAAAAGAAAAAGGCAAGGGGAATCCTTAGATCTAGTAAACCCGCATTCCCATGCACAGTTCCAGTGTCCATCCTTTGGCAGAGCCTTGGTGAGGTAGTCGGTCACCATCTGATTTGTAGGTACATACTCCAGCTTCATGAGACCATTTGCGATCACTTCCCTTATGAAGTGGTACCTTATGTCGATATGTTTTGTTCGTGGGTGGTACATGTGGTCATTGGCCAGGTATTGAGCTCCACGATTATCAACATAAAGTGTGACATCAGCCATCTGAAAAAGACCTAATTCCTTGAGTAAACTCTGCAGAAATATACCTTCTTTAACAGCCTCTGTCATGCTGATGTACTCAGCCTCGGTCGACGAAAGTGAAACAGTCCGTTGCTTTTGTGATTTCCAAGAAATGGCACCGTCTCCGAGCAGATAAACATATTCCGTTCATCTGTCCACACTGCATTCACCTCAGTCAGCATCCGAGTATCCAATCAAGCTTTTGTTGGTTCTCTTATACGACAATCCGAGATCAAATGTACCGGCAAGGTATCTCAATACTCGCCTTGCGGAGATCCAATTCTCCTTACTAGGATTTATATTAAATCGAGCCAATTTCGACACAGTGTTGGCTATGTCAGTGTTGGCCTTGTACAAGTAGACAGGTACATTAAAGCACCTATTTATTCACGATAGGGGTAAAACTTCTTAATCGGGGTGGATAATTCTTTCTTTGGCCTCTTTGAGTTGATCTCTGAAGGGGTACTCACTGGATTAGAAGCTTCCATGCCATATCTTGTAAGTAAGTCAATGGTGTATTCCTTCTAAGAAACGGTTAATTCATTCTTCTTTTGATGAATCTCCAAGCCAAAGCAGCTCTTGGCCAAGCCAAAATCCTTTATCTGAAACTCGTTCATTAATTGTTGTTTTATCTTACCCAGTCATCATTACTGGAAGCAATTAAAATGTCATCTACATAGATCAACAGCAACAATATCCTTTCATTACGATGTGCTTGATATAAACATGGTTCTCCCTCGGTGGGAAGCAAACCCATCTCCTTTAACTTTTTATTCAGGCGTTTATTCCATTGCCTGCCTGCTTGACGTAATCCGTATAAAGCTTTATTGAGTCTACAGGCATTACCACTTGATTTTAATTTACTCAACAATCTCTCAGCTCGTCTCTTCACAATAGGGTCGGTGGCTTTCTTGGTCACTAACCTTTCGAGTGAGATCTTCAGCATATCCGGCACGTCCATAATTATCTCTTCATCCAAATAGCCATTTAGAAAAGCAGTAACGACATCGAACTGCCAAACCTTCAAGTCATATTCTGCTGATAAAGCCAATAAGAGTCTGATGGATTCCATTCGTGCAACAGGTGCAAAGGTCTGATGATAATCATATTTTTGACTATATCCTTTTGCAACGATACGAGCTTTTCGACGAGAAATAGATCCATCTGAATTATATTTATTTGTCAGCACAACTCGACAACCGATTGTCTTCTGATCTTCCTGCTTCTTGATGATCTCAAAGGTATCATTCTTGATTAAGCTTTCTACTTCAGCTACAATGGCATTAATCCATTCAGATTTCTCATCACTGGACAAGGCATCATCAAGGGACACCTCAGCAACTCCAGCAAAACTGGTCTCTGGGTCAGATTGTGAATCAACGAAGATGTCATCATCACCTTCGACCTCATCCGGCAAACCAGCATCGACCTGATCAATGGTACTAATTGTTCTATAAAGTTTTCTGGGTCTTCCTGGTCTACTTGTACGCAATAA